TCAGTCTTCAACAACCTTTATTTTGGTGTCTCATTTATTTGGACAGATAGCAGTGTTGCCCCAACAGGAACTGGGCATAGCCTTCAGGAACCGGCCCTCGGAAATGGCAAGAGGAATTTCCTTACAGACCAAAAGGGAAAGAAATACAAAGAGCTGGAACAAACAGGATCAAACAGGATTTAAAAAAACAAAACTAAACCCACACAATGATGGGACTATATTGCATTTCTTTTTCTCTACACAAACTCCTCCAGGACACAATCTTCTTGCTACGTTTCCCTCCTTTTCCTTCTTCCATTTCTATATTCCCAAACAGGACACCAGAAAAGTCACTACTACAAAGCAGCTCAGTTGGCAAGACACTGGATAAAGAGTTCTGGCTTCTGTCCCAGCTCAGTCATGGGCTGCTGCATGACTTAGGGAACCCATTTCACTTCCTTATATCTCATTTGCCTCCCCTCTCCCCACACACAGACATCTGTTTTCTTTATTTTCCTTGAAAACTCATCTCAGCATAGACTGTTCTGAATAAGGTTGAGCACAGGTCAGTGTGATTCCAGGCTTGGATGTGGTTTTTAGGTATGCTCGCAATATAAATAACAATGATGTAAACTCCATCCGTGTAAACAAGGTTTTGAAGGAATAAGTTTCACCTCATGAATGTGGGAATGGGGATCTGTGAGTGGAGAACACAGGAGGGCCTGGCAGTCTCTGAGAAGTGAAGGAAAAGGGAAGCAATGATCACTACATAGATCAGGCCTTGAAAAACAGTTCTCATTTATGCTTGCACAGAACATCTTTCCATTTCCTTCTTTTTCTGCTTCTTACTTTCAGTTTGTTTTAAAGATGATGCCTTTCTTTATTACTCCCTCCTCTGACCTCTTCTCTTCTTTCTCTGTCTCCATATGCACTTTGTCTTAGGCCTATATCATTTCTAACATTCACTTACCTGTCTTTTCTGTCTGGAATTCCTCCTGTTTCTCCATTGAGCCCCCTTGAAACGCTTCTCCACCCACACCATCTCCTCACATAGTCCATGTGCATTAATGGTGGAAAAAGCCAAAACAAGCACCCGCCCTTAGCAGTTCTTTCCACAATGTCCAGAAGGACCTATGTTTGAAGCATGTGTTAAAGATCATTGTAAATCAGGAAATGGTGAGGTGGAGTGCAGGGAAATAGGAAAGAACCCTCAGCTTATGAATGTACAATATGGGAACATGGACTCAAGCTCCAGTCTAATATTTGCCAACTAGACCAAGTTTCTTGAACACTGTGTATTTTGAGAGCTGTATGGTTAGAAGACAAAAAGTTCCAGAAGAGCTCCTGAGCTAGATGTTCTTTGCTATAGCTTAGAGGTGGCCTTTTATTCCATCATTATAGCTGTAAAGGATTCCCAATCGGCTTTGGTAGGAATAGGCACATTATATGTGCAGTTTAAAATCAGTGTATTTCTAAATGCAAGATACAAAGTATTCAGCAACTAAAATAAATATAAAAAAAATACTAGGCATGAGGACTCATACACACACAAGATTTTTTTAAAAAGAATTATCATAAAAATATTTCTCTGCCTGTTGCTTTGTAACCTGCTGGGCTCACATTACTGACTCTCCTGTCCTGTTAAAGGGCAGAAACACTTTTTCAAATGAAAATTGACCCCCCTTTTTTTTTTTAATCTTGTGGTTCCAACAGCAAAATCAACTCAGATTTTGCACTATTGTATAAGTAGTCAAAATGAAGCCCCAAGCAAAATAAAATTTGTCTGACTTCACAGAAGCCAAATGAATTCCCTCACCATTAAGAGCAACAACCAATTAAAAGGAAAACATCTTTCTTTCTTGAAAGCTGACTTTCTCGCATACTTTTTTGCCTGTGTGAGGAGGCAATGTACAGGCCCCATTTAAAACTAGAAAAGGCCACAGCTGCTTCTGCATCATGCCAGGTACACAGGAGTGGGCAAGAAGGTCACTGAGGGGTGTCTTGCAGAGGCACTTGTGCTTTCATAAAAGAAGTGGTGAACAGGGTGGGAAGCAGAATTTACACTGAACCCCGGCCTTTGACTTCAGCTCAGAAAGGATCAAGTCCCCTTAGAAGGAGAAGAATTGCTCTCTTTGCTAGGCTGGAACAAATTAGTCCCCAAGATGGGGGATGTTGTTTGAACCACCTGGGATGCACATTCCTCTGAGAGGAGGGAACGTGGAGCCTTGGCAGACAAGCCAGATGCCAGGCTGGGACAGAGTGACCCTCGCGCAGCCGCCTTACATTTCTGTCAGCTCTAGCAATGTGAAAAAGGAAAAAGCTTGTTAAGGCTTGTATTACTTTCAGATCGAATTTTTATCCTGTTTCACTTTGGAAGTCTCTTGTTCAAGCTCAGTGTTTCAAAGCTGTGGCTGCAAATCTCCCAGGGAAGGTTCCTGTGTTTAATAAATTGTTTTGACTAGAATTCAAAGAGAAAGTACGTAAAATGCGGCCCAGACCTGCAGCCCCATGTCTGACCAGACAAAAATGTGTACTCTGTTAAAAACTGGAGAATTCTCAGGAACATTGGCATTAGAACAGCTTTGCTGCTCCTGAAGTCAATAGCATCATCGTCTTTAATGGAAATACCTGTGACTAATTTTATTTGGAAAGAAGGTAATGGAGGGAGTTGCCAGAACACCAATATAACAAACCTGTAACTTATATAGTGGCTCAGCTACTGGATAAAATATCTTCCCATTCATTCTATCCAGCCATTCCACAACAGCATTAACCCTTGAAATGCTTCATAAGCTAAACTCCTTGTGAATGCTGACTGAAATATCATTAACATTAGCAATGGTATTAGTTTAGAATAAGATGGAGTGGTGGCTTTTGTGGTTCGGACTTCTCTGAGTGACCTGGGGAAATTCCTGTGGCTGCTTGAGGACCCTGCCAAGGATCCTTGGTACCTCGTCTCTGAGATCTTCAAGCATGAGCTCACCAGTCCCATTAACTTCACCAGAAGTCCTAGAAACAAGGTATCAGGCCATTCTACCATCTCTGCAGTGAGAAATGTAGTGTTTCTCACTGTTTCTCTTGGTGGCTACCCTTCCCATGGCAGGGCATGCGGACACAAAAATAAGTGCTTAAAGATGGTGAACATCTCCTTAAGATTTCACTAATTGAAAAACTAGATCCAAACCCTGCAGAACCTTTGGCTTTGACCAGGTCTTGTTTCCTTTAAGTTCTGTTTTTCTTCCTTTTACACGAATGTGATCCATCCATCTACCCCCAAGTGAAACCTGAGGTAGAGTTCCAAAAACTGCTTCCAGCTAACTGTGATCCTCACACAGCACTCTGTCCTTTCCATCTACTCTTGTTAACGCCTCTATTCACCAAACCTTGCCTTTCAAATAAAGTCCCGTATTTGAAAATGACAGAAGCCCTACGAGACAAAAGCATTAGCCCTCACATTTCTGCCAGCCTGGGTAAGCAACATGTATGTCCTGCAGCAGGCTCAAAGTTCCACAGTAAACTTTCCAAAATCCCCATGCTTTGATATATATGGTTTGGGTACAGCAGGACAGACATAGCAAAATCTAGGGGTTTCTTTTCTCCTTTCATTCTAACACTTATTTTCTATTAACAGCACTGTTTCCTGATTCATCAACATCAAAGTTATCAAATGAAAACATACCTGGCAGCCTCCAAATCAATAAATGACTGAGACTGATTAATTCACTAAAATCAGAAGGACTAGTTGAAATTTTTAAAGAAATGAAGAGTGCCCATGCTGTTTTTTACAGTTAGCTCATCAGTTACTCAAGGATTTCAAAATCCCGCATAGATTTTTAAATTTTACTGTGGACATCAATACTAGTGTGCTGGTTAGAAACACTTCTACCCTCTTGGAGCGTAATAAGGGCAACAATCGAAATACAGGAAAGTTTGTCCAAAAGTGGCTGAATTTAAAATCTTGACTCCATATCCCACGATGCATAACAGTCTCCTCACTAAGGATCAAATGAAGTGCATCATCTGAAACAACGTCTTGCCAGAAATCCTAGCCAACAGGGCAGAATCAGCCCAAAAGACAACTTGGTTATAGCTCTAGTTTTGTGCTGCAGCAACACTCCATAAAAAAGGGTTTGAGTCAATGGAAAACTATAATTCTCCATGGAAAACACCTACCTTCTGAATTTTGGAACTTGGTTTTTTTTTTTTAAAGAACAGTTCATTATCAAGAAACATTTTAGTAAAAACAAGTTGGATAAATAAAATAACAGATAACATCTTTAGCATTAGGACAGCTGAGACCCCAAAATGAGCAGCGGTGATATATGCTCTCTGTGGACTCTATTTAAAGCTGTGAGGTCCATCTCCTGGATTTACTCTCAGCAGTCACCAGTTATTAGTTTGATTTTCTTCTTTTTATCCCAGTTTTGCCTCAAAATATTTATTTTGGACAGTAGAATTTCCATTAATTTATTTCAGAAGATTATTCCCCAGTTCTTCCTAGTCTGACATTATTAGAAGCCACTATCTATAGCTATTAAAGTAGATGGCGTGCTAAGAGCTGTGCCCTGTGCTCTAAAGAATTTACAGTCAAGAAGACAAAGCAAAGAAAGATTATTTCTTATTTCTTATTTATAAGAAAATTTACAAGAGGAAGATTGAAGTCCGGAAACCTGGACAAGGACATATAAAGCCAAGAACTTAGTTTAAGTTTCCATAATCCCAGACTAATACTTAAAGAGTAGGGCCATACTCTCTGTTATAAACATAAAAGACAGGTTTCTGATATCCTGATAGCCACCTGTTATCAGATGGTTATTTCATAAAAAGATGACTCTTCTCATATAGATAGGTTTCCTGATTAAATAAAGAGGCTAAAATGTATTTCAGCTTACACTGAAGAATATACGAAATGTACAACTCACATGCTTTAAAGAGGTGGACAATGTGGAACAATTGTCTCCACAATGTCACACAAGCTTTAATACAAACGAAAATCTAGATTTAAGCTTCCCAGCACTTACCAGCACACTGATTGTTTTCATCCACCCGGTAACCAAAGCGACAAACCAGAGGTCTTGTCACAGTAGGGTAGTTAGGAACTGCGCCTGGTGCTGGGGGCGGTGGATAAATATTTGAATAAGGATTCAGATACGGTGATCGATACACTGGGTTTGTTCGGGGTACGCATAAATAGCCACCATTCTGGTTGACACACACCATATCTCCTCTACAGGCCTCGGGAATGGTCCGACACTCGTCGATGTCTGGAAGGAGATTGCAAAAGTTAAATCAATGAGTGCTTCTTAATGCGACCAGCCAAATATCTTCTGTTTGGGACTTTGCTAAGAATCTGATACCATCTCGGATAAGAAAAGCTAATCTTTCCATATGAGTCTCACTTTGTAGTTAGATCATATCAAAAGAGGATAAATCCCATACATACAAGTCCTACATTCTACTTTTTTTACATCAGCGTTAGAAGGCAGGGGAAGATGGGAAAGCCTGCTTTGCTATTCTCTAAATGTTCACTTTAAATACTGATTTACACATGGCTACAGCATGCTACAGCCGGTTCCTGCTAGTGGCTCTGTCCAAACCACAACATGCATATCAGGATTTCAAACACTGGTGGTTTGGTTTGCCCAGCTGTGAAACTTGGATCCTGATCTGGAACTCCCAAGCTCCCGCCCAGAGAAAAGCTTAGGGATGTTCAGATCTGGGGACCCAGTTCAGGTCTCCCTTCTTCTCATCGAGACCATTGTTGTTGAATTAAATTCAGAAAGATAAAAACGATTTAGCCAAAATGATTTTTTTTTTTTTTTTGGTTTTCAGAGCACAGAAACACTAGGCTGCAATGACAGGGTGAGCAAACTGTTGCCGTTTTTCTCCTAATTTTTAGTAACTTTAACGCAGGCAAAATATGCTGCTCTATTCATTGATAAAATGCTGCTTTATTCATTGATTAAAAAAAACAAACAAAACAACACGGCTAAGCACATGTTTCCCCTTGTTAATCAATCAGAAATTAATCAACAATTAATTTGTATTCTGGCCACCCAGCAGGCATAAACTTTATCTGTGGCCTGTAGGTAGAGGCTGTCAAAAGTGGTTAACACCGAGTCTGGTGGAGAAGGGCAAGGAAAGCAAACAACAGCTTTCATTGGCAATTGGGCCGAGCTCCCAAACACAACTGAATGCATCGTAGTTACTTGAAAAGTATGGAGAGGCAATTAGCATCTCAACAATAGCAAAGATAGGTTCATAGTTGACCTAATTACATATATATATGTCATCGGCCATGTAATGAGAACTTCTTCTCTTCAAGTAGAACGTATCAACAGCAACACAACGTTAACTCAAACTCAGGGTTCCTGAACCCCAATTTAAGTCCATGTATTCAAGTAAAATCCTACCTAAACATTGCCCAGAAGCACGGTCCAGATCAAAGCCATTACTGCATTGCTGCTAAAAACAGGAAGAAAAAGAAACACTCAGTGATTGTGAAGTAAAAGAGCTGCAGAGTCAAATAGTCATTTGGGTTATTTGCACGTGTTGCAGTTAGTTGAGCGCTATTTACTGCATCAATACGGGGGCCCTTCCCCATAGCAAAGCATGAACCTGGGACCACCAGCACACACGTGAGTCCCGTAACTCAAAAAGAGTCAACCCTCAAATGGTCACAGTGTCAGGACAGTGCTCTCTACTGGGCTAACTAAATGTGCTCCAAAATGTGCTCCGTGCTGGAGCTCTGTCTTGGAATCTTGTTCTTTTGCCAGAGCAAAGGCACTCGCTTCAAAGGTGCTACCTAACTTCAGAGTAACAGGCTCTACAGCTCCATGCATAGACAATTCAGGACATATTTTTTAACAAGTTAGATGTCTGACTGAGCTGAAACCATAGTTATAACAAGCTTAATAAAAGTAAGGCTCATTTATACCAAATTTTCTGATTTTTAGAAACATATTTATAGGGCAGAGGTATTAGGCATGCAATGTTATTGAACACGTTGCTTGTATCTTAAGATGCTGCCCTTTATCAGGGCTGGAACCTGGAGTCTTCAGCACCTAATCAGTGATCCTTGTTTCTGAAATGGTGACAATTCTGAGGGTGAATGTTTCAAAATGCACTAAAATGATCCTTTGCTCTCTGTTTTTTGACAGAGTCTCCAACTATGGAACAAGCAGTTGATGTGAGCATAGGACTCTGCCAAAAACAGGTTATTCTAATGAATGTAAACAAGAGATATCCAGAAAACACAAAGCACTGAAGTTACAGCAGAAGGATGGAGTTCATTCAAGGTTCTTTCTTATTCTTTCTCCCCGCTGCCCTTTTTTCTTTTAATTATTTTGGTAAGTGATAAATACTTATATGGGGAGAAGTCAGTGGGTAAACCACTTGTCATATGTTTGGAAATGCAATAAATTGTAGATGGGAGACAATGATGAGGCAGTGCAAGTGAGCCACTGGAGGATCTAGGGAGGGGACATGAAATGAAACACATGGTAGTACTTGCTGTGCACTTGCCATTTGCCCGTGTGAGTACACAAAACCACTGCTAAAAGTGTCAAACATGGGAGTTCTGCCTTCATTTATTTTGGCATTATGAGGTGTTTTGATATCATGCTGTAGAGGCCAAGGTATTCTGAGAGCAGAAGCTACAATCATCCTTATGTTGTAAAGAATGCACATATCTTTTCCGCTCTTCTGTACTGTGCTTCACACATCTTTCAGGGCAGCTAGCCTTATTATTTTAACAAATTCTTTTAACAAAATAATTTCCTTTTTTTTTGAGAGAGAGAATGATGATTCAGACACTGAAATTGCTGCAAAACCAGATTCAGTGGCTTTCTATAATTTCAGTCAGGCAAGGTACCAGTGATGTTGAGATGACCAGCTTCAATGTCTTTAGGAAGAATTCAATGCTATTATTTTGCTTTTAAGTGGTTTTCTACTTTGACTTTTAAATCACAGTAAAAGCTGTTTTTATAAAAATCAAAATTGAAGTGATATTATTTAAATTATAAAAGTCAAACCTTAAAACATTGCAAATATTCTCCAGGGCCATGCAAAGCATTTCCCATCTAGATCTAATGTTCACAAAAGTAGTAATAAGCAATCCGTAAACAGGAATTTATCAATGTAACACAAAAAAACCCAGCTATGTTTCAAAGCTTTTTGGCAAAGGTATTTAGAAACATGGCTCTGGACATGGAGCATATCTGGATTATCAAATAGGATCCAAACTTAACATGCCTTTGGGAGCTGTTTTTCCTAATTTAAAGTCTGCTTGGTGCCCGGGAACACAAAGAGCTAATGCTTCTGCTATTTCAAGAACTGGCCTGCTCTACTTCCTTCCATCCTCCATAGCCCTCCTCTTGAATAAAAATGGCTTGGGATAGGAATTGCAATGAAGACCGAGATGCAGTCATCAGACCAGCAGTCCAAAATAAAAGGGCTCAAGACACAATTCTGCAGGATTGCCACACACTGAAAGTGTTCGGGCAGTAAGTGTTCAAAACATGGGTGTTCCCCACCCCAGAACTGAGCTGTGCCTGCTCCTGTAGGACAACTTTTTCTATTTACTTTCTCAGAAGTGCTCAGTTCAGAGGCAGAATCAGCTTTTTCAGTGAGGTCCAGGTTTCTACAGGGATATTTTGCTGAGCTGGCAAGGATAAGTCAATAAACTCATTCCACGTTCAACTCCAGGATCCTGTTGGCTCTAAGTCCTCCCTCTAAACCCATAGACCACATAGCTTCCTTTTCATGAAAGTCCCAGACCACAGAGTTTCCTATTCACCTGCTAGCCAGACAAGTCTCATGCCTATAGTACTTCAGTATAAAACAGTTCACAGATCTCTACAGGCACCTCTCACCTGTGCTTTTCCAGGGCTCGAGAGGCAGACGGCCAATGTGAAAGCAGTCAGTATCCTGTAATATGCATAGAAAATAGGCTGAAAACCTTTTCAGATCCAGGCATGTTACACAGAATTAAATATACAAGAAAATAATCTCTAATGACACTTCAGTGCATTCCAGAATTTTGTTAATGTAAATTTGACCTCTGAAGAGGGAATATAAAAACTGTGGGCAAGATTGAGACCTCAAAGTCACAAATTTCACTATGGTTTAAGCAAGTAAGCTGAGAATCAAACTGTACATGTCTTAACTAATCTGTTCATGACATCCCATGTGGCAGGTGTTCAATGAACAAGCACCTCATGTTCCATAAGCATTTTTGCCCCTCTCTCAAAGGATACCTTTCCTTTGAGAAAATCAACTTTTTTCATGCACATTATGCACATTTTAGAGATTGGTAAACCAGAGCAGAGGCCCTGCCTAAGCTCACAATGCAACGCATTGGCAGGGCTGCAGACATGTCGCGCAGGAGGTCCTGAATCCAAGCCAGTTGCTCTAACCGCTAAACCGCATTTCATCCCCCAGAGACTACGCTTGAGATTGATCCATTTTTTAGGGCCAGATTCTGTCCCTTTACTCAATCTTGAGTAATATTTTGCTCTACAAGTAGACACACGATGCCAGGTCATCAGCTACTAGAAGCTGCTCTCTTCAATGGAGCCATCCCCAGTTATATCATTTCAGGACTGGTGGAACTCAGTGGGTTTCTTCACTGCAGCCGACGGAGCAGCAGGATCCCTCGCTAGCAGCTCTATGCATGTGTAGAATTCTTTACCCAGCCCATCAAATTCTCTGGTCAACCTAGTCCCCCAAATATCTGCTAATGGCCAGAAAATTGTGAAAGAACAATATGAAGCGTGCTTATTTTCTCTGTACTATGGATTTCAGTGCCTTGTTGATGTCTTATATAGAATTTCTTCTCAATACAATTAAACCCACATTCTGCTTATCTTGGATTCTAGTTCTGAATAGCAATTGTATACAATATATTTCCCACAAAACCAGTACAGGAAGCAAGGGATATTTTAGGTAGCCTTAGTTCTGCTACCCAACCGAGCTGCCAATTTTCTCTCTTAAGGCTGCCTCCGGTTTCCAGTGCAAACTGAGCTGCTGAACAAGATCTACAAATGTATTAGCCAAAACTCCTCACAAACCCTAACTGGCACATCTGAATACTACTGTGTTTTTAATGTGGAGGAGGGCACAAGCTCTGAAAAGCAAACACAGTCTCTAAAATGGTTGTTCACAGTCCTGTGGGGACAGACTGTGCTTCTCTGGCCCCTTCAGAGTGACAAGGACAGATCAGTTTCACGAGGGCTCTTCTTGGAATCAGATGCAAAGCATTCAAAGTACAGTATTATGCATTTAGGCTTACACTTGCTTTATTAATTCCTTGAACCTTTTTGAAGTTTTTTTTTTTTTTTTTTAAAGCATGCACTGGGTAAAACGGCTGCATACTCACTTTGTGTATAGCAAGAACAGCACTAGAAGGAAATAAAACAGGTTATAGCTGAATGTTAACATACCTAGCAATAGGGCTACATTTTACAGTACTGTAGAGCAGTATATGCTAGGAAAAGCCCCTATAAACTTAGTTCAAACAAACTCATGCTTTTGTACACAGCTTTTAGTTTCAGCTGTTATGAGATGATGTATTCTTTCCTCTTGGTTTGTGGGAGGGTGACCTTATTGCCTCATATGTGTTCTGTCTGCAACCACCATCACAATTTGCCCATTACTTCTCATCTCAGATCCCCTTGAGAATTATTAACAGACACACAGCACAGCCTATCAACAATATTTTCCGCTGGTCACAGTAGCTTGCCTAGCAGGCAAAATATTTTAAATTAGTAATTAACTCCTGCAGTAGTAAGTAATTAACTTTAAATCAATTACTGTAGCCAGTGGGATCATTTGCTGTGGCAATTCAGCAGTCCTGCAGATGTTGGGGCTCCTAAAGCGCAGAATAAAAGCACAGATCAAGGAGGAAATCGTTACAGACAGCACGGCTTTTCAAACAGACAGTTCGTCTTTCCCCACCTCTGACCATTAAGATGCCTTCTCTTTGCAAATAGCTTTAGCAAGTGGACTGGCAAAATGAATCCTTGCCGCAGATATTTTCCACGAGTAGGTTTCCCCTTCAGTAAGTAGAGAAGTTTCATGCACGGCACTTACCTTTTTAATCCTTGCATGTCCAAAACTGTTGAGGAAAGGTGGAAAAAAAACAGAGTCTGCGCTGACGAATAACTAGAAAGTGTTTCCAAACATTACCCTCTGCTAGCACTTCAGTTCCTCCGTCATTTATAGTCCAAAGAATGAAATAACAAGTAATGGAGAAGATCGGGAGTCTGTACCTCCTCAGACACTGGAGAGAATACAGAGAAAGCACCTGGTTTTGCTTAGTTCTCTTCTGTAATTCAGCATTAAACCAATTGGAGGAGGAATGTTAAAAATGAACACTTCATTTTCTAAGTATGTTAAACAATGCAAATGGGGGCCTCAGCCTGGGGACAGCTGGTTTAGATTACAAAGCTCACCAACTGGCTAGACTCCTCACAACAACCTCGAGGAGCCTGCCAGGATAAAACACTAACAGCTTGAAGGAAAGCCTCTCCTGCTGCAAACCTCACAGCTAAATGTGCCTCGGAGCAGAGAGCACCGTTATTGGACAGAAACGCTTATCAAGGGACTGGAGAAGGGAAGGGATTGTTTTCCTTGTTCTGAGAACAAAAAAAAAGTCCAGTTTTTCTGGGGCCCTCTAGCCAGTGCCTTGGACGATGAATATGCAAGGCTTGGTGCTCCATGCCAAGGGCATTCTGAGGAAAGCGCTGGCCCTCGGGAGGGGAATAACTCGAATTCATGACCATCGCAACGACGGGAACTATAGGGCTCGGGGATTATTTGAAAGCAGGAATAAACAAATTAAACATGCAAAGGAAAACAAATGCTTTGTCCAAAAACACTGACTCTTCTTAAGCCGACACTTAAGGGAGCAGCTTGCGAAATGGAATATTTCTCAGGAAAAGCATATATTGCAGATCTCTAGTTATGACTGAAGAGGAAGGAAATAAAGTACTTTTTCAGGTGTTTTGCAATTTTGCTACAGGCAAAGCTTTAGTAGGTCAGGCAGGACATTTATTAGATGTGAGAGGCAAGCAATCAGGTGCTGCAAAGATTATACTCGGACCAAGAATGAATACTGAACTTCAGTATAGACATAAAATGAAGGCTCTGAATTTCTTGGAGTTTTCTATCTGAAGAAGCTCTTTTCTCCTAAAGTGAAAGGTCCAGCATGAGATATATTTTTATCATACAGCTCTACAAGTGGAGAAACAGATGTTATTACAGATATTCATAAAAGTGGCCCCTAAGCACAGGTACCCAGCCTTAGACTCAAAGATTCAGCTGTTTCAAGGCTGCTGAACACCAAGCTACGTTGATGCTAATAGGAAATGCCAGACCTCAGTACCTCAATAACTGGCTGCAATCGTCCAAGTGATTTTTCAGAAATGACAGCACCAGAAGCTCCGTTCCATTTTGATGATCTGTCTCTTAGTGACTTGCTTACATCACTTGCACTGCATGGAAAACTGAACTTTCTCCTGGAATTCTCTGAACCACATCACTACCTCTGCTGATAAACAAGAACTGAATCACTTGTTTTTAAGCAGACTTCCCAAAAGCTTAAGAAATCCAGCAAAAGAGACTTCCAAAGCAGTTAATCGGGCAGGCAGTGAGAGAAGAGTTTTGTCACGGATCAGAAAAGAGATAAGAGATGGAAAGTAAAGACTGGGCAAATTTTATTGTGGAAAGGAATAGCAACGAGCTGTCTCACGGTCCCATAGTAGCTCCAACACTAGCAACCTTGAAGTAGAAATCCTTCCTGTACTTCAGGTTTGAGAAGGTGATCTTAAACTATAAGGAATGAGCTGATCAGATGTTTTGAATATCCATATTTTTGTGTGAAGAGGTTGCTCTACATACGTGCTGATACTTTACTTGTTGAGCACCATCATATATCAAAATCACTGTAAACATGCCAAAAAACACTGCATGGATGCAGCTCCCAAGTCTGCGCCCAAATAATTGCCTCCAGCTCAAGAATTCTTATTCATCAGCCAACTGGCAGTCATGCTCCAGTACTGAAGACAGGAGGTAAACCCAGACATGACCACCTAAGCAGCTCCTTCAGAAGGGATACTGCAAAAATGTTTTGATTTTTCCTGTCTCCATCTGACACAAAGAGTGGATAATAACCCAGCGTATTAAAAGTGTACTAAACAATTTGGGTTAGTTTAGAATGTGATAATTTCCCCCTCCCCTAAATGAAAGGATTTGATGTTATAGCTAAGTGGAATTTCTGCTATACTTTGTGATTGTGATCGTAATGAGATAAAGCACCTCCTCCTTGTAGCTCTCTCTGATATGAAGAGTTGCACAACTAAAGATATTTGTGGTACACAAAAGCTCTTTTGTTCACTCTTTAAAAACATGGACAATTCAACATATCTTTCAACGTCATCTTGTGACACCTTCACCTTTTGTGCTTAGGATGGTGGCTAGACTTCAAGTTCAGCAGCTCTTTCACTTTAACTGTTAGCAACTTCCCTGTGTTCTAAAATAGGTTGCCTTGACTTTCTCCTTCACCTTTGTGAAGAGAGAGAATAATTCTCAGCTCAAAATGGAGTTAAGGAACTGAAGATGTTCTTAGAAGTTTGCTTTGTGCATAACTGGAGTCTAATTATGTTCAAGACCTGGATTTTTACAATTATATAATAAATAACCATAAGGTGGGACAACTTATGAAACATAACCTTCTCTCTAACCTCTTTGGACCAGAGGAGAGAATGCATGAAGTACCTCAGGCTCCTGCAGATAATGCAAGAGAATGAGTTAACAGGGACCCTCAGCCCTGGAGAACATGATATAGCAGCTCCCGAATCTAAAAGGAGAGCTGTACTTAGATCAGGGAACTCATAAGAGTTAATTACACCCAACACTTTTGAACAAAAGTCTGCTTCACAAGAACAAGTCCTCACCTACTAATTTTTATAACACCTCATCTCCTTTTTAAATTCTGTCTGATATTTTACTTACACCTTCCAGAATGGCATCTTTTAAATACTCTTTCTAGATATTCTCGCCCTTTTTTAAAGTTTTCCCTCTCTGAACATTCCCAGGGACATTGTCAAACTGAGGAAGCAGAGTTAAATTACATATGCATATGGTGATCATTGTTCGAGCCCAAAGTTATAGACAATCACAGACATCATCTTATACATCATCTTGCACAGACAAGCAGACCCAAATTCACTAAAAGACTTAGCCATTAAGTGACCCTTTAGGGGCCTATGTCCCAAATGCAGATGCTTAAAACATCCATTTCGTTGCCACCAACTCTTATGAGGGTCAGATTTTCTACCCCCAAAAAATGGTAAAACACTTATAACTGCTGGATGTTTGCAGAAACAATTGTGTTTTGCCCTCACTGCAGCTCCAGGAGATTCACATGCATGGCTTTCTCCAGACTCTAGAAATCCATCTAAGGGTTGTTGCAGATTGCCAACAACTTAAGCTTTTTTCAGTTAGTTCAGCATCTTTTCTCCCTTTTTTATGCTTCTTTTAGTCCATGTAGGCAATTTGCTTTGTTCATATCCAGAGCAAAACATCACCCTCTGAAACACCAGGCATCTTCTGCCTTTCAATTAAAGAACTTCAGGTTCAAAACAACCCTAAGCAAGTTGGTGGAAGCACCATCTCCCCACGGGGAGGCTTGAGTGTTCACAAGTACGGGCACTGTTTTTGTGAGCGCACCTGCCAGAACCCTGCTGCTGCATCCAGAGCAGAAAGATACTTGACATCAGCCCTCTCTTCAGAGCTTCTCTCCTTCCAAGCAGTGGAAAACATTCACTTTTGAAACATGTTTTTCATTCTTATAGGTATACACATAAGGAAAGACTCTTGGCTTCTTTTTCCCATAAAACAATCAGCAAGGCTGTCTACATTTTTGGTTCCTTTCCTTATGTTTCTCAGGGCTATATGCCTATATAACTTGATTTTAGAAAAATTCAATGGCATCAAAAATTTGCCTGTGAGGAAAGGACTAATTTGGACTCTTTTGACTGCTTTCCTAACCCAGGAAGACATTTTTTAAGCTAATTATTTTGGATATTTACTGTTCAGTGACTGGTCTTTTATGTAAGATGTATAGTAAATTCATGTTTTTAAAAGCATGATTCTCAAAACCATTATTAAAAATTGTTTCTCTAAGATTTTTTTTTTTGGAAGCATATTCCCACAGCAGAAATTACATAATTTCATAGTTTACCAGGTAATTTGGGGCATTCTAAAAGTTAAGCATATTGCTTAGAAATAAATTCTCTATAAAATTATAATAATTGGCAATATAGAAATATATTGGAAATTGGAATTATTGGAATAAATACAATAAATTTGTTTTCAGGTTTATTAATCAAGCCTTTCTGCAGCAATGGGGAAGCCAATGAGGCAGCAGTGAAGAATCCTCTAAGGATTTCCACTGGGCAAGCGGGTGCTACTGGTGTTTGCTTAGTTCTTCTGTGCATCTGCTGCAGTAAGTTGCATCCTTCTCCAAGAATGCAAGCACTGTCCAGATCGAGTTTCTTGGATCTACTGGGCTTTGCTTTGACTTGTGCTGGTGGTCACAGCATGAGGATTTCAGAAGAACCTGGAGTTGCTCCTGCTGAAGCAGCCTGGGTGTTCAGAGCAGCTCCATGTCCATTCTGGTCCTGTTGGATCCAGAAACACAAGCATCAGTAAAACAGGTGGATAAAGCAAACAGTTCCCATGTTGCTCATGGTTAAAGAGAGCAAAACTCAAGAAGCTGAAGTTGTGTCAAAGGAGGAAAATAGAAAAGAGCCCAAATTCTGACAGGTTACTTGCAAGATTACAAGAAAGCAGGCCAAGAAAGGGTTTGAGAAATGATTGCAAGAGGCATAAGAGCTAATAATAAATTCTTTTGCAGACACATCAAGAGCAGGAAAACTGCCAAACAGTCTGCAAAGCCAACAAATGAACAAGGTATAAAAATAGTGCTTAGAAAAGATAAAATCACACCAGAAAACTAAGTGATTCTTCTTCATCTACATTTACTAACGAGACTTCAGGAAGCTTCCATAGTGGAATTTTTAAAAAAATGATACATGGGAGAATCTGCTTAAAATTAAAATACCAGCAGAAAAGGTTGTAGAACAAATCAACAAAATGAATTGTAACAATTAATCAGGACTCATTTGACATTTAGAAATTAAGTGTCGTAACTGAATTAAATGTGAAGGTATGAAACAGCTGAATTATTTACTGTAAGGGTAACTGCTCAGGAAATTGCCTTAGTGCCAAAAGAACAGACAATACCAAGTAAGATACTGGTTTTTAAAAGCTTTCCATGCACCACTTAATAAAATTCAGAACAGTAATCACTACATGAAGAAAAAATGGTAAAGTTAAAACTAAAAATTGAATTATTGAGCCCCAGTCTGCTGTAAGCTGAGGAAAAATTATTGTGACTATCATAACAGGAAGCCATATCTCTCAAATCCACTGGAGCTTTCTGAAGGAGTAGAGGAGTATGAAGACAACAGA